CTTTATGCTTTGCATTTGAGAGATCTCTAGAGAGAGTTTGAGTGAAACATCTCTAGGGTAGTTTGATTATCACCATTGTTGGAGAGGTTGAGTTAACCACCACATTGGTGTGTTTGATTCTTTGTAACCATTATTTTCATAGTGGATTTTTGATCTGGACTAGGTCCCGTGGGTTTTTACTTCTTCATTGAAGAAGGTTTTCCCACGTTAAATCTAGTTGTGTTCTTCTTCTCTCTCTCTCCTGTTTTGTGTTTTTCGTTTTGATTTTTTCGCTGCGCTGCCTGACCTGGTGAAGTTTAGGCCGAGGTATTGCCGAGATCCGAGATCAGGATCTTGTTGATTGACTTCCGCACAAAGGCTACTTAGCCGAGCTTGAGAGAACCGAGTTTTCCCAACACAACAAAGTGAGGTGAATAAATCCTCCATGAGAGCCGATTGAATACCTCTATGGAGAAGTTTGAGTGGAACCTTTCTAAGAAAGTTTGAATACCACCATTATAGGTGATGCTTGATTATTTGAAAATACCTCTAGAGAGATGTTTGAGTGCTAAACCTCTTTAGGGACGTTTGATGTTACCACCATACTTGGTGAAGCTTGATTATACCTCTAGTGAAACACTAGGGAAGTTTGACTATTGTAACCCATTATTCTTATAATGAAAGTTTGATTCTGGACTAGTGTCACGTGGGTTTTTACTTCTTCACATTGGAGAAGATTTTTTCACGTTAAACAAATTGACCGTGTTCTTCTCTATCTCTCTCCTCTTGCATTTTACTGTTTCGCTTCCGCAATTGACTTGAGGATCTGACTTGACCCAACATATAATAACCGTAAAATAAATTAAAATTACAAAAATATCATGATTTTCGTCCCAAAATGACGTCGTATTGGACTTACTACAGATAACTTATCTGCAAAGCGAACCCTTCTTTTAAAGATGCGGTCCTTCATTTTATTTTTTGAAGTTTTTAATTTTTATTTATTTATTAAGGAAAAAAAGTATGTATCGTCGAGAGCAACTTTACAAGTTACTTTATTTTAGAGTCGTGCATTTCATGCTTCATCGTTTAAGAAGTTTCCTTTTTTGTCAATATTTAATGAAGCACTTCATACTTTTAATTTTATCAAAGGGAAATTTACCCTCTGGATTTATTATTATACAACTTGCCACATTTATTATTAATTTTTCTATGTGCTCGCTTAAGTGGATTTTACTTAAGTTGTTGAGGCAGGGAACGTACTTCCTTAACCAGTAGGCAATCTCCTTGTATTATCCTCTAATTTAACACATCTTGTTGCAACTTCCTCCCTTTCATCTATTTTGACTGTTAACTTTGATATAAAAGAAATACGCATGTTGTCTACAGCATAGGTAAAAGACAAACTTAACCAGTTTTTAATTTAACTTTAACTTAACTATATATGTTTTATGATGTCTATAGCATAGGTAAATGACTTTTATGATGTATAGTATTATCATGCTTATACCGACGAAATTTGGGATATATTAGTTTATAAGTATATTTATGGGGAAGAATACAGTTAAAATTTTTTGGTTCATCACTTTAATGCTTTTCAAATAGTTAGAGATAAAAGTGTTCCTTATCAAGTTAATTAGTTTTTTTTATCCAAACCGGTTTAATCTGGTTTAATTAATTTACTAAGCTTTTAGATGATCTTGCAAAGGAAGCTAATATTCTCCCAAAGAGGCTTGATACTCACTCTGACTAATAAATTCCTTAATTCTTAGAAAGACAATTGTGCACGTTAAAATTATGGACAAGAACAAAATTATTGCTAGTGAGCAAAATGCGAATGAGTTACATGCTAAGGCTAATATTGCTAAGAATAAATCAAAGAGTTCTAGTTTTATATCTTCTAAACCTCAATTTAAGAAAAGTGTTAGTAACCATTAAAACAAGAAAAGTGTTTGTTTTATTTGAGGCAGAATATGCCATTGTGCATCAACTTGTATCTTGTGGAATAAGTTTAACAGCAACAAAAACAACAAAGGAAAGAAATGGAGGAGGAAAGTCCTGAAAGAGAAAGGCAAATGTGGGTGAACATGAAAATTATAAACATTGTAATATAGTTGTCTTCAAGTGCTTTATGGTGACTTCCTAATTGTTGGGTTGCGGTTCTCCAATGCCATAAAACATACTTGTGCTAGCAAATTAAGACTTCTGCTTACTAGGAGACTCTCAAGCAAGAGTTTAGGGCCCGTTTAGACAAGCTTTTGAAAAAAAGGACTTTTTATGTGTTGCTTTGTTAGAAAGTATTTTTTTAAAAAGTCAAAGTTATTTTGTGTTTGGATGTAATATTTGAAAAATGCTTTTAAGCAAAAAAAAAATATTTGGATGTTAAAATAAAAAAGCACTTAATTCTTTGGGTCATTTTATCAAACACCCATGATACGCCGTTGAATCTGCCTCAGCCACTCACACAAGGCATGGCTTTGTTCCTTCTTCTCCTCAGCATCCAAGCACCTAATCTTTGATTCAAGCACCTGTGATTCAAAAGCTCAACACTTTTTTTCCCTTTGTCATTCTGTTTGTATCTTTCAAACCAAACATTGGGTTTGGTATTTCTTTCATTCTCCAGTCACTGGTTCCATCACATCAACCATCACCGACCACCCCATCCTCTCTCTCTCTTCTTCTCTCTCTCTATCTCTACCTGTGACTTTTGTGTGGGAGTTCCAGAGAGCAAGATACTGGAATGTAGCTTTAGGATTAGCGGGGGTAACAATGGCGCTGGTGCAACTATTCAATGGTGGCTACCATGTCATCACCAAGGTGACCCTTAACCCCACGTTGACAAAAACCATGAAAGAAGATGGAAATGAAGAACGAATGAAAGTACAGGATGATAAGTTGCTTCTAACTTCTCCTTTTTCCAAAAGTCAGAAATTTTAACTTTTACAAAAAATAGGATTTTAACTTTTTCTTTAACTTCTCCTTTTTTAAGAAGTTAGTCTCCAAACACCAAAAAAATTACAGAAGTGCTTTTTTTTATAAAAAAAAAAAGAACTTTTGGGAGGGAAAAAGCCAATCCAAACATGCACTAATATGACTTCTGAAAAAAGCCCTTGCTGTTTTGATGTAAAAAGAAAAAGTCCAAGGAGTGGAATTTTGCACTTTGTCAGCTTAATGTGAGTGAGAGCCTTGAATGAGCACTTTCGGGACAGGAAGCACAAGGCCAAAGAAGTAGCACTTAGAATTAAGAAGATCGTAAGAGAATAAATGCATTGAAAATGAGGAAGATCAATTTGTCAAGTTAGAACATGCTCGCAAATTGTGATGGAAAACCATAAAAAAAAAAAAAAAAAGGGAGAAAACACTCAAATGAAGAAACTTAGTCAAAAGGGAGAATTTTTAAAGTGGACCTGGTGTATCTTTGTTGGGTGTTCCATTTTCTCAAAATAGAAATTTCTTATGACATACTTATCCATACCATTTTGTTTATTTACTTTTATGTCCTGATTTTTTTCTACTTTTAGAAAAGGTGCACATGCACCTGGACCACAATAACTTTTCTCGTCAAAAAGATAGAAGCTAGGTTAAAGTACAAGGTTGATTAGAGATATAAATATTATTATCCCTAACAGACCAAGATATTGACGTGTTCAGAGCAAAGAACAATCGTAAGGATGGCAAAGGATTTTGCAAATTCAGATGAATAAGTTGTGTCTCCTGTGGTTGAATCAAGTGGAGACAAAATGACCAAAGGGGTTGGTTCAAATGTTACATGTTTGAATCTGCTTAAATAAGGTCTTGGGTTTAAGTTCTTGTGAATGCAAAAAATTCCTTTTGAGAGAGCTAGCTCCACCATGATGTGGATATTCTTGACCCGAACATAATTATCTCTTGTAAAGAATACATATGGTTTATCTAGAAAAAAAAGGGTGAAGAAAGAGCGGGTGAAGTATTATTATCACAAGAAAAGGGCTGCAAATTATGGAGTAAACAAAACTAATTATGTTACATCAACCCTGGATCTTTTCAGTTTACAAAGGTGAGGTTTTATTTTATTTTATTTTTGGATATAAAAAAAGGTGAAAGGTGAGTTTTAATATGCTATGTAATTCCCCAAAACAGCTTGCATTAGAGAAGTTTTTAGTGTCAACTTCTGTCTCATGACATTCCTTGTGTGGTATTTTGGAGTTCTGATAAAGAAAAATAGTCTTTGGATTTGGAGCAATTAAAAAAATCTTTTAGCCAAAACCAGAAAAAGCAACTCATGCGCACGTTCTTGCAAAATTAAGGTGGAACTCCGAGACGTGGTAGCCATTGAGCAATTTACCTCCATGAATGTCAACAAAGGCAACTTTTTCTCTTCTGTTTAGTATTTGCACGGAAACATCCAAAACTACTAAAGCTAAAATAAAATATACACGTCAAAATGAGCTCAAAGAAAATATTCCAAATGCTCCTATGTTGAAAGGGGTGCTTGCTTGCTTGCTTCAGCAGCAAGACTTCTTCAATTTGAGAAATGCAACCATGATTTCAAAGGAACTGGTCAGGTTATTCTGATTTCTAAGCAACTTCTTCAAAGAATATTACAAACTCATCTTGATTTTCACCCCGCCTAGGTAAAGAAGCAGTGACAAAAAATAGAAAATAATATTTTCTAACCATGTCAAGGATTTTCCAACTTAATAAGTTATCTCAAATTCAAGGCTCGGGTGCAGATGGGGAAACATATATATATATGAGGCCAAAACAAATAATGTTACTTTAATTAGTTTATTAACGAATAATGTTATTTTAGTTAGTTTATTTAACAAACGTTCAAAAAAATACTTAGTTGCTATGAAACCAGTTGATAGACATTGTAGACAAACCAACCTCCCCTAATCTCAAACCTTCAAATACGGTCTGAGAGAGAGAGAGAGAGAGGACTTCAAGAGCACACACCTAGGGATTAAAACAACTTGCTCTACTTTTTGCAATGCAGAAGACAAATTAAAACAACTCACAAATGAAGATGATTTCTGGTAAAAATTTCCCCATTTCATCCAACTCCATATATTGAGCATATACTGCTATATCTTTACAAAAGAAAACAAAAGCAGAATGGTTTAGTGGATGTAAAAAATCTGCTACATATTATCAAGGGAAAATACACGTTCCAAAAGAGCAGGAATTTGTCCTACTGTACTAGTTCAACGTTCAAACCCTCAATGCCACCTGGTCTTGCCATGAGATCTTCCTCTTCACTGTCCTATTTGATCCATTCCCAACGTTTCTACAAACTGACAACTTAATGTCGTTGTGTTGCTCTTCATTCACAACTCTTTGAGTAATTATTCTCTTTGGCTCTTCAATCCTCATGGGCTCAATATCACCCAGTAATTCCTCCTCTTCTCTCTGCATATGATGGCACCAAAATAGATAGAAATTATAAACCATAAATAAGCCTAATAGAATGAAACACAAACAAGGACTCATCATGTAAACATAGGATGTGCGATTATTTACCGAAATCTGGTTCAAGTCAAAAAATGGAGTTATCTTCTTCATTGTCGCTTCTTTCCCACTGTGAATCCTATCTTTGTGATTCAAGTCATGTCCTGGAGCAGGACTGAGAAAAGAAGGATCTTTTTTACCAACACCACTCCTAGCATTCTGATTCAAATCAAACATATGAGCTGTTTTCTGCAATGCGATCTCAACCCCATTGGAAATCCTTTCATTTGAATTCAAATGATAAGCAATGGGGGGCCGCAAAGTAGATTCCTTTCTGTTGTGTTTACGGCCCTTTGAGATAATGGCGGCTTGGATGTTAAGCTTTCGCGGCTGTGAAATGTCTTGCTTTGGCTGAGGCTTTGGAGAAGGATTTTTTATCAAGTATCTATAACGTTGCCTCAAAAATCTGCAGTTGCAAGAGTGATAATTCTAAGCATAAACTCCCCATAAAATAAACAAAACTGCAAATTATGAAAAAACACTAAAAACCAAAGGCAAGATACTTTACCGAACTTCTGCTGACAGCAACAACTTTTTCTGCTTTGCAGCCTGCAATCTCATTCTCATTGCATTTGTTTCCTGGACATACTAAAATATTATTACAAAATTTCCAAGTCTAGGATAGAAAGAATTTGACAAAAAATTTAAGGGTAAAAGTTTTACAACAACCAAAACAAGACTAGGAAGAGAGAAACAAACAAACAAGCAAACAAAATTCTGTCAAGAAAGCTTAGTTCCTAAGCAAAGTGAGTCCAAAAAATGAACACTTGACAATTAAACATCTGTATAATTCTTAAAGCCCTCGAAAAGATTATAAAGCTTTATAATTCTTCAAGACTCAAAAGACTTCACTATGTGAATCAGATACTCCCAAAAAAAAAAGGGGAAAAGGGAAAAGAAGCCTAAAACATGAGCACACTGCTATGTGGCTATTGTTTCCCCTTAATTACAGCATTCAAAGGAAGCATCTTGGAGTCCAAGAATTTGTTTTTGGTGTTGGTTAGGGGAAAGTAACCGAAACTGAGAAATTCTAACATAAAAAAAAAAAAAAAATATAGGAAATACCCACATGAATGAACAACAACTCACGTGATCCGAACATAACATTAGGTTTTATTCAACAAAATATCAAACAACCATAATACAACATAAGATCGCTGTATCATCTTCCCAAACAACAAACAATCATAAAGCCAAAACCAAACAACAACAACCGCAAAGGAACAAAAGAAAACACCAGATCTATTGAACCCTACAATATAAATTTTCAAACTTTATCAAACACTGGGAAAAGGTTCACCTTCTGCAAGTCTTCATAGTCCTGCAAGAGACTCTGATGCCTCAACCTGGTTCTCTGATCCTCATACACAGGAAAAGGCAGAGACTCCATAGAAACAACCCCTTTCATCTTCTTCATCAGATCACCAAATAACAGAACAACCCACAAACAAAGAACCAAGAAGAACAACAACTAAAGGTGAAAACAGATAAAGAAGAAGGTGGGTAAGATGATGGAACAAGAAGATGTAAGAGAAGGCAGAGAGGAAAAGAGGCAAGAGAACGAGGGATGAATAAAATAAGAGAGAGAGAGAGAGATGAGCAAATAGGGAAGGTAATAGAAGGTTCTGGCTTTGCTGTTTTCTCTGTGAAAATCTGACCAAGACAAAGAAGCCCAAAAAGAAGCCCCAAATAACTCGGTGGGAAAAAAATTTGTTCTTTTTAAAGAGAGAATTGAAGAAGATTGGATTTTTTGGGGTCTTGCAGAAGGGTAATTCAGGGAACATAATTTTATGATTGAGAAAGAGAAAGGGGTTGTAAGGTGGGGATAGTTGGAGGAAGTTTGAAGCCATCTAGCTAACTTCTCTTTCTTTTTTTCTTTTGGGTTTCCAATTCTTTTTTTCTTTTTTGGGCTTTTCTTCTACATAATTTTTGGTCTAGCTGGGACATTGATGAGAGAGAAAGAAGGGTATGGTGTGGTGTGTGGACTACTTGGTTTTTGATGTGAGGATGCGTGGAGTTTCCATGTTTCTTCTTTCATTGGATTTTGGCGTTGGCCTCTGTGTAGAGAGAGAAAGAGTGAATGGGTCAAAGAGAGACAGAAAGGGAAAGGGAATTGAAGATATGGGGTTTGGGAGATAAATGAAATGATATGATGCTGTTTTTTTTTTTTGTCTCTGCTATTCTGTTGTAGCCGTTCCTGTTGGTGGCACCTTAATTTTAGGCTTAAAAACGACACAGGTGTCTTTCATTTTATTTAACATTTTAGGTCAATTGGTATGCAATTACATGGATACCCTTTTTCTCAGTTTTCTTTGATGCTAAGGAAGATGCTTTTTTTCAAACCTTTTGTCCTGGGCGGAGAAAACCCAATATGGCTTTTTCATGATGAATAAAGATTGGCTTCAAGCCAGAGAGAAACCCATTTGTGCCAATTGCTCCTTTATTTTGAGTGCATGATCCGGAAAAAGAGGATATACTATATGTAGTTGTTGCCTAATATTTCTCCCACTCTTCTCTTTCTACTATTTTTGGGTCTGGATTTGGAATTTTGTCAAAAACAATCAAATGATGATTCACTATCTTTATATTTAAGGGAATATTTCAAAAAACTTCCTATCAATTTTCTCAAATATCACTTATCTCATTTATAAATTTTTTGAATCATTTATACTCTTATTTAAAATATTTTATCATTTATCTTCCTGATTTAAAGTTTTTTTATCATTTAGCTTCTTCACTTAGGAGATAAATGATAAAAAAAATTTTAAATCAGGAGATAAATGATTCAAAATTTTGAAAAGAAAATAAATAATTATGATAAAGGTTATAGGAAATTTTTGAAATTTTTCCTATATTTAATGTTTCCTCCATTTATTGGATGGAATAAGAAAAAGAAAAAACCACCGTCACCACTACTTTCAGGACTTTGTGGGTGACAAACAACAGCCTACCTTGTGCCTAATAATCACTACTACTATTGATTGATTGAAAGCTCCAATACCCTTCATTTATTTATTGTAGAGCGTAGTCCTAGAGCCTCGGATTTTGAAGAAATTCCTAGCCAAACGTGTAAAAAAATGTTCTCATAAGCAGTGTTTATCTAAAAAGTTCATATTTTAAGATTCAATTTGACATTTTCCTACAAATATGTGGTAGGGGGAATATGGTTAATGTATCCCACATCATGTGATTAGTAACAGTAGTACAAAACGTGAACCCACCCACGTGCCCACAACCATGGTAAGTAATATAAATTCAAAACAAATAGAGAAATTGCAGAAGTCTCCTAAAGTGAGGATTTTGATTTGTGAACAGAAAAATAGCAATTAAGACAGAAGACAGGTTGGTGGTGGCTGTTGCTGTTGCTATTGGAGTTTGGTTTGTGCATCACTGCATCTGTGATAATATTTTGTCATATCACTTTATTTATCCACTCCTTATACAGCGTGCATCAGTGAGAAAGAGGTCATGGCCAACCCCTGTATTGCCGTTTTCCTTTCCCTTTGCATTGTACTTGGTTTAAATACTAGTTATATCTTGAACACGTTTTGTTTGTGGTGTTTCTTACCCATTTTTTATGAGAAAAATATTGGTTCTTTTAAATGATATAATTGTATGTTATTTTAGATCATAACCGTTGATTTCCGTCAATTAACAGTTAAGATTTACTAGATTTTATTATGAATTACTAATTAATTAATAAGTTTGACCAATGATTGACGGAAATCAACGGTTAGGATCTAAAATAACACAAAGTTATATTCTTTAAAAGCACAAACGTTTTCCGCATTTTTTATACGGTGTAATGTTTTTCATATTTTAGTTATTTCTTACACGGGAACGGATACACTTGTCATCAGAAAATTTTATCACTCTTACAACGAATTTAATTATCGTTGATTTCCATCAACCTAACGGTTATAATTAATTGGGAATTAATAATATTTATTGGATCACACTTATTAATTAATTATTAATTCTCATTAAATTATAACCGTTAGATTGACCGAAATCAATGGTGATTAAATTGGTTGAAAGAGTAGTAAACTTTTTTGGTAGTAAGTATATTTGTCCCCTTCCTTCACATACAAAAAATTATGGCGGGCCCATATAAGTGATCATGTGAAGAGAAAAAAAAAAAACATGTGCTCCACATATTTTTATGTGTGCGTAGACCTATAATGCAGTGACACTTCAAAATACCTAACGTGTCGTGTCCAATAGTTTCTGACACTCCAACACGCGTTGTAGAGACTCAAAAAGGATTCGAAGGTTGCATTGCATTGCTTTTTTAGTTCCAACTTTTAAATTCGTTGGATTACGATTATCATTTTATTGAGTTTAATATAAATATTTGAGATATCTTATGTTTTTTTGCAAAATTGATGGATATCATAAGTTTAGCTTAATTTTTTTGTTAAATTATTGAATATTAAATATAATATACACTACTTAAATTAAAATTATTATTTAATATCAACTAACGTGTCAAAATCTAGCATATTTTAGAATTAACGTATCAGAGTGTCGTGTCGTGTCGTGTGTTCTATGTCGGTGTCGGTGCAACATAGGTGTAGACATTAAATTTTTTATAATTATTAAATCAAAAAGTATATCAACATTTTGCAATTAATGTTGTTACCAAGGCCAATATCCTATCTTGGAATGCATGGTCTAGGTTGGAGTATGACTGATGTAACACCCCGTATATATCCGGTAATGTTATCAGATCATCGTATTAAGCTGCGCTTAATTAAAAATGCGGAATATCTTTTTCTTTTCAATTATGACGTCTTTATCATTACCAACTTGCTTAATTAATCAATTAAATGAAACCGTGCCTGTATGTAAATTGCAAAAGACAGCTAACTGAAATACCTCATTAATTATAATAACAGATATATGTCTCTAGTCACGGAACTACAACACGTAGCCCGGACCAACTAGCAGTTTATACAACTAAAGCTAAAAGTACTAACAATATAGTGGCATGGACAACTCTCATGCTCACCCAAATAAGGCAACAAAGCCCAACATAAGTCTCAACTCAATAACCATAAATGACATAAAACATAAATAGCATCCAATCCAGTCATGCCAGCATAAATATAACAGCAATAATCAACAACTAAGCTCTGGCCTCCTGCCGCCAGAGGCATCAGTCCCTATACTACATGAACCTGAAATAAGCATTCCCCCAAAGTGGGGTGAGATCTCTAAACAAGAAATCTCAGTAAGACAAGGGGTCCTCAAGGATCTTCTACCCCAAGCTCACTTACATGTGCAATATAAGTTCTAAAATGAGTAATTCACTATCAGTTCCAAAATCAGTGCAATGCAACAGATATTCATGTCATGTGTGTTATAACAATTCTATTGATCAGAGAAATGCAGTAATACGCCTATTACCCACATAAATACCAGCCCATGTTGTACCCGCCCACAGGAATACCCCATGGCATCCTGTTTAGACGGAACACCACATACATATCATATAGCATTTGCACTTAACAGTTCAATGGCATTTCAGCAAAACAATACATGAAAACACATCATGCATATAAACCATCCCCCCATGGAGTATGGTGGAACAGAAATTAGCTAAACCGAGGACACGAAAGCTTACCTTGCAAGCTAGTTATCCAAGGCAAGAGTCCACAATACCTCAGAGTCCACAAACAGCAAGATCACAATCTGTTTGGACCAACAATATTATCAATATTTATGCACAACCAGCATAAGATTTAAAAACAACGCCCTTCCTTTATGTTTTACATCTTTAGACTTCTCTCAAAGTCATAAGCCCTTAATCACTTGATTCTGACTTAGATTAATTATTACAGAAATCCACATAAATCGATCATGGGTCCACCAACCCAAAATGACATTCGGTATGAATAGTACCGTCACTATTCCGAAATTTCCAGAATATCCGGGTATTTGCCTGGGGCATATCCGGATATCAATGTCCGAATATCTCTCTGCCAATATCCGGATATCATATCCCGATATTTCGCGACAGAATGCAATTCTGTATTTTCACGAGATATCAATCTAAAGGTCAGGTTTTTAACCCATTCCAACGTCCAAGCATCCATTTTTAGGCATATACAGGTTCATTTACGTGTTGGTTACTTGTTTAACTCATTAAACATGCCAAGACACCTCCTTTAAGCATTAAAACTCATTATCAAAGTTGGTGACACTTACCCAAGGTTCAAAATAGAGCAAAGGTTGCTCTTGGAGCTCACCAAATAGCTGTTATGGTTCTGACCAAGAGGGAGCACGAAAATGCCAACAAAGATTGGCCCTTTCACAACAAAGATTGCTCCATGGAGCTCAAAGTGCCATCACCAAGGTCTCTCACAACATTACCACTAAGTCAGCACCAAAATCTCACCAAGACAGTGGCCACAACTCTGAAACCAAACCTCACACTCACCCCCAATGAACACTCTTACTCATCCAAGGTATTTTGGTGAAGAAAAGTGGAAGAAAATGGCCCTTGGCTCAAGAAATGGTGAGGAGAACCAATGGAACAGTGCCTATAGAAGCTGGTCAGCCTTCTTTCTCACGTAGGAATGCAAGGTGCCTAGGGTTTTGGGCCACACTTGAGTATATATAGTCACTTAAGTCTTAAACGCACAGTATTAGCGCTAAATGTTACGCTTAGCATTTCAATCCCAAACTTTGGAATCTGATCCTACTCATTTTTCTAAGATTTACCATATTTTTTATTTTATTTTTCGCAGCACCCTTCCAGTACGCGCTTTTCCGTAGCCAGTATCAGTTCTGGCACCAGTTCTCATTATTTTGACCTGAAACTTGTTTTACAAGTCCTATATAATATTCTAGGAATATTCATGCACTTATTATAATTTTCTGAGATACTTTTTCGGTACGCATTTATACTGACTAGCAGAACCGGTATCTGCACTTTTCGTCAGAAAAGCGACTTTCAGCATTATTACTCACTTACTATAATTATTTAAGCCTCATAATAATTATTAGGGTCAATTATGAAATTATTTCCTAATTTCACATATTTAATTAATTAACTTCCTTAATTAACGGTGCGAGTTCTTACAACTGA